GTTTTAAATTTGCAATCCTTAGCTATAAAAACTGAACATTTTATAATTTATTAATTACAATGATTTATAATTTTCGAGATTTTGATACATTTTGTCAAAATTCGATCTTTAAATGCTTATAAAAAAAAACTGTGCCTATGTATTTTTAATATTTTTCAACTGATATTGTAACAATATATCAGGAGACTTGTATTAATTTTTTACACTTTTTGGCCCAATAGATAAAATTTTATTGATATTTATAGAAAAAAAACTAAAAAAAATTGAAAGATGTAAATGTCCATAAACAGCTCAAAAAGAGTAAAAATATTTTCAAAATTGTATGGTGTATAGGAAATGCTAATATAAATATTCAGTGAAATTTTCATGTATCTAAAGTTATTCGTTTTTGAATTACAACAAAATAAGGAAATCGCTACATGAGAAATCGAGTGAATATTCAATGTTGTAAAATTTTGAATTTCAAACGCTCTTAAAAATTTAATTTGACTTTCTTATATACATTTTTTTTTTGATAAGGGTAGATAATCTTATAAGGAATCTTGTATTACATTTTCAAATCTTAGATTTAAAAAGAAAAATTTTTACGAATTTCTAACTCAAAATAATTTGCTAATTTTAGTGATTTTTCGATATTTTGTCAATTTTTGAACTTTAAATGCTTATAAAAAAAAACTGTGACTAAGGATTTTTAATATTTTTCATCTGCCTTTGAAAAAATATACTAGGAGCCTTGTATTAAATTTTCAAGCTTTTTTAACCAACAAATAAAATTTTATTGATATTTCTAGAAAAAAAACAAAAAAAATGGAAAATGAAAATGTCCCTAAACAGTTCAAAATAAATCAAAATATTTTGAAAATGTTATCGTATATAGAAAATGCAAATATAAAAAACCAGTGAAAATTTCATGTACCTAAGGTCATTTTTTTTAAAGTTACATCAAAAACTAAATTCAATTTTGTGAAAAATCGATTTTGCGTAAAAATTCCCGTTTTTCCTTAATTTTTATGTTGTTTTTCCCGGTGCTTTTGAAAATTACTGAGCATTTTAAATTTTGACCTCCCAATGCACCAACGATATTCACTTTCCAATCGAACAAGATACTGAAGTTGAAAATCGAAGCATTATTTCTACTACTTATCGTGTACACAGACACAAAAAAAAAAGAAAACTATAAATTATATTATACTTGTTGAACTAATATTAATTTTTTTCATGGTTAAATAATAGGAAATTGTTGCGCGTTACCCTTTTATTATATTAATATAGGTAATATGATTATAATTTCTTTTTTAAATATAAATGTGGTGATAAATAATATAGGTCACATACTAAATCTATTTATTGATTTTATCCATTTGATAAACTGTAATTCATTGGATTGTGTAATACTTATAATATAGTAGTTTGTATAGTAGGTAATTTTAAACTAACAGTTACTTATAGAAATAATTTTTTAATAAATTTATGTTACAATTTGTTATAATTATATTTTACAACTATACATTTTAAATTAGTTATTTTTCTCAGTCAATGTACCCGATCTCTAAAAATTACAGAATGATAAATAAAGATTTTAGTGTACCTATTATTATTATCATTACGAGTAGATTACCTATAATTATTATATTACTATATTAGGTATACGTTAGGTAATAGGTATACCTACTACAAACATATTATTAATTTAAATAAATATTTGTAATTACTTATTATCATATTTTAATATAACATTAACAGTTGAACTTAAAAAATAATACACGGTAAATTAATATTAATTTAATTGCGCTGTTTTTATTTTATTTACCATTTATTAGATTTTACTATAAGTATTATATTTAAATAAGTAATAATTCAATAACTTCAAATCAAGCTATGTTATAATACAGTTTCTACGGTCTACATGTTGGGACATAAATTTAAGTAAACAGTATCTTAATTTATAATCTGTAGTTCGTAGGTACGCGAGGGTATTGAAAATATTACGGCGGCATTTGCGTATAATGAATTATATAATGATACGAATGGTACTGGACGAACGTTCATAGACAAATAAACGGCGCTCCCGAAGTCCCGAACGAGCACTCGTCGCCGCCGTCGGCCGGTTGCGAATAGTAGGCGTGACTTAAACGCCGCGCGCTTGCGGATCGTGAAAACACCTAACAGCGCATCCTCTCGGTCGTTGCATGCGTACAGCTTTGGGTGACACGTCCTCTTAAATATTTTTATCCTTGTAATCTAATTTATTACCTTTTTGAATGACAACATACAGTTTTCATTTAATCTTCGAAAGCCGAATATTTTTCTGAGTATTTCGATTCATAAAAATCGAATTTAGGACGAGTAGTTTATGAGTTATAAATTTATAACTTATAAGTACCTATTTAAAGTTATAGCTCATAAACTATACTCGCTTCTTCGACTTATGTATCGAAATACTTAGAAATATTTTCTGCTTTGCAATGTTAAATTAAAACTGTATTTAGTCATTTGAAAAAATGAAAAACTTAGTAAATAATAAAGATAACAAATAAATATTTTATTTTTTAATAGAAACTGTAAATTTTTTTTCAAAAAATATTCATACTTTTTGAAATAATGAGTATTTTCATAATAAATTAATCACTTGGCGAATTATGTATAACATTAAAATGTGATTCAAGGACGTACAATGTATAATGTATATATAATATATATAATGGTATACCTAATCGGTATTTTTCAGTAGTTCCATATAATTCGCTTCGCGCAAATGGGTCTTTACGACATCGAAAGTTGGAGAAAAGGCTATAGGTTATAATATATCTCAATATCAAATCATTTTTTTTTTCAAGGCAGCCTTTGAATTTTTTGACCATTTTGTATTTCAGCTTATCGAGTGTCAGCCATTTGTACTACACTCTGTAAAATATATGTATATAAATTATTGCAATATAAGTAACACTACATTAAAATATATTATAAACATTATTGATAATAAAGAAGCGGGGGAACGGAGTGGCTGAGCGGTCTAAGGCGTAGGTTGCGACGTACACCGACGCCGGTTCGATACCTCGGCCATGGACGGAATTTTTCTTCGGGCAAGTCACGGTGTCCGGAGAACAAATTTCGCTATCCCCCACTTGGGCATGACAGATACCTACGGGTGCCCAAATCAAAAATTGCCAAAAAAACTCGTGTTCCTCCCCCTATCGACAAAAACCTACAAACAAAACAAAAAATAGCTAATGGCCTAAGTAGAAGGGCTCAAGCTCAATAAAAAAAAAAAAAAAAAAAAAAGAAGATAGCGATTAATAGCGCTATATAGTAATTAGTAATTGTATTTACATACATAATATAAAGTAGGTACCTAATAATATAAGGTAGTAAACTCATACTAATGTAATTTGTATTGACAATTATCGTATGATTGTTAAGACTAATTATTGTGCATTCCAGTTGTATAATATAACCTATTTTAGGTATATTAATAATCGTTTGTAGTTAAGTGTTATTGAATGATTATTGATTCTTTTAACAGTAAACACTTATATATCAGTAAATTTTAATCATTTTCAACATTTTTCACTTAGTGACTAAATAGTTAGGTATGATCACATCGGTAGGTACGTGTTCTCGTCCACTCTAGCGCACCACGCCTTTTGTAGTTCTCGTTATTTCATTGGTTTAATAATTTTGGCTCCAAAAATTTTATAATATGTGAATATTACATGAAACTGTGTTGATACCATCACTTAAGTAGTTATTAAATCATAAACTCAAAACTGTTAACTAATAAGTCATAAGATAATAAGAAAATATAATTAAAAAATAATAATTTTAAATGTATTTAAATTAATTTTTAAAATATAATCTAGTGTTGATAATATGAATAACCATTGAGAAGCCGAGAACTGAGTAATTGACATGGTCTGAAAGGGAATCTGCGTATCAGTAAAAATGTGATCATATACCTATCTATTTAGTCATAGTCTTAACTACTAAGTATTTATTAGAGAACTCTTCATTTTTGAAAAAATCTAATTTTGTAATACGCATAGAATAAAAAAAAAGTATTCAGTTAATTAGTGCGTTTACTGTATACTATTAAAAGAATCATCCTTAATGTAAAGAGATGTTCAAGTGGTTTTTCAGTAAATATCAAAAATTACCGTCATAATATGTTAGCATGTGGGAAACTGTATGACCAGAAAAAATGTTTGTGTATTAAGTACATACAATTATTAGAAATTTAAGTATTTATTTATAATACTCTGATTCCCAGTGCTTCGAATATTAAATATCTTGGCTTATTGATAAAAGACTGACCTGGGCCCAGCATATTAAGTCCAAAAAAATTAATCTAAACTTACGCCTACGACTACTAAAAAACCTCATCCACAATAATAAATATACTCACATCAATACCAAATTACTAATCTATAAATCACTACTAAAGCCTGTTTGGACATATGGCCTACAGCTTTGGGGAAACGCAAAAAAACTAACATAAACAAAATCCAAACATTTCAAAACATCGCACTTCGCAAATTAGTTAATGCCCCTCCCTATGTCTCTAATCACATTATACATAAAGACCTTAAAATGCCGTCAGTCTCTGAAGAAGCTAAAGCATATTATAAACGTTTCCATTTCCGCACTTTAGCCCATCCCAATAATCCTCTTGTCAGAAATCTTGCCAATCCTACTATCCCTGGTAACCCGCCGAGACGGTTGAAACGGAAATGGTGTCGTGATCTATTGCTACCTAATATTAATATAAATATTAATTGACATATACATACTGCGCCGTATGGTTACAACTTACAATACATACCATATTACCATATAGCATATATTTGATTATAAGTTATGATTTCAAAAGGCCAGTATCTATTTGAAGAAAAATTAAATACAAATTAATTTTTGAGCATATAGTTATGAACTGTACATTTTATAAACATAACCCCATTATAACAATGTCATGTACTCATGTACGTTCTTGTGTGTTTTTCCAGTTTTTGTACCGTGCTGGAGTTGCGCCGGACTTGTACGCAACGTTCGATAATGGTATGGTGTACAAATACATTAGAGGTGAAACGCTGACCACTACCACAGTCCGGGACCCGATCATTTACAGGCTTGTGGCCAGAACAATGGCGAGATTTCACAGGTTAGGTGTAAGTGGCAAAAGGGCAGATGACAGGACGACCAAATCCGAACTTTGGAGTAAAATGGAACAGTTTGCCAATCTCATTCCAGAACGTTATAGCTCTCCGTCCACGGACCTCCAGTTAGTACATAAAGCAATTCATAGTATTAGTTATAAATATTATATTTACGAGCTATTATATTATAGTCACCAAAAGACTTGATGTAAAACCCTAATTTTATCGGTCACTAGTGAGTAGTTGTGTTTTCGAAAGAAAGATTCAGGAATATTAATTTACTACGTTTACGCTAGCTACGACCTACCTATATGACATAAAGTAAAAAAAGTTTTTTTAACGGTAACAATATTATTTAATTTTATATTTAGGTATACGACTTAAAAAATATATATAGATCGGTGTCCCAATTACGCGCTACTATAGTATAATATAATATATTATTTTAAAACCATCTGCACGTGATTTGTATATTTCATTATTTATAATACATGATATATAAATTATATATATTTATTATTTGTTATAATATATAGGTTCCGAAAGACATTCCCCCAAGGCGTCAAAAGTCTACGAGCCGATATTGAAACGCTCAAAGCATCGTTGGAGAATATTGGAAGTCCAGTCGTGTTCTGTCACAACGACCTGCTGTTGACCAACATACTTGTGCAGAGTGACAATGCAGTGGGAAGTAGTCCCGCCAGTGTAGCATTCATCGATTATGAGTACGCCATGTTCAACAATCAGGCATTCGACATAGCCAATCACTTTATTGAATTCGCTGGTGTGTATTACTTAGTGTTTTAAAATTTAATGAAATTTAAAAAAATGAAATATTTCGTGAAATATTTCAGTATTTTAATAGATTTTGTTTTATTTTTAAATAAGTTTTATATTTACATATAATTGTCATAAATTACCTTCATCACTATATGGTACCTGTATGTATACCTAACCTTTGGTATTATACATTTAAATTGGTATTCAAAATTTTTAAATATTTTAATGTTTAAATGATATAAGTAGGTATACAATATTATACATGTATATTTTATACTTACTGAATTCTGACATTAGAATTTAGAACACTGAACATTGTGTTAAAAAAATAAATAAATTGTGTTTTTATTTGTGTTAAAAAAAAATTCAATGTTTCACGTTTTTGTGAAATATTTCACATACTTCAAACACTAGTATTACTGCATTATCAATAGATAGTCAACTTAAAAATGTATGCATTTCAACTAGGTACAAAATTATTTACATAATATTTATGTCATTTTGAAAAATTTCTTAAAAATTTGAACGCTAATAAAAAATGGTGAATACATATTTTCGATATTTCTTATTTACTGAAAAGTCTGTAAGAACAACATAATATTATGAGAAACCTTGTTTTAAATTTTCAAGCTTTTACGTTAAAATTCCTGTTTTTTATGGTTCCGTTCGGTAATTTTTTTAAAGTTTGTACTCTTACGCCTGTTGAATAAAACCATATAGTTTGTTTAGTTGTTAGAAAAAACCAAGTAACAGGAAACCATATTTACTTACGTCTTATATAGACCGCATGTCAAGTATAGTTGACATGGGTTTTTTTTAAGATACCAGCTACCACGTTTCATCTTACGTTGACATGAGATCGTTAACGTATCAATATTTTTCTGAAGATCGGAAAGGATAATAATATTAACACATTACTGAATATGCTATACCTATAGGTACATAACAGTTAGTATTACACACTACCTACATTAAAATCCCAATACATAAATACATAAAAATATTGAGGGTGATAATTTCAAAACTCCTAAGCACGTAATCCAGCCTAACTCCCTAAAATGCGCCTATGCCAATCTAAGTTCTACCCTAAATTTAAACTTTGAGGCTACTCCAACTATTCTGGTTATAAGTGAACTGTATATACGTCGGCCAATATTTTAGTATGATATTTATTAGTGAAAATTATTATTAACATGCGGCGAATCTTTATGTTTTAAACATGCGATTTTTTTTCTCATCATCGATTTACGTTGACATTTTAATAACACAGGTGTACAAAACCCGGACTTTTCATTGTATCCAAATGTCGATTTGCAAATGGACTGGCTGAGGTCATACCTTGAAGAATACATTGGTGAATCTTTGGACCAAAACGATCAAAGGGTGGCCGTGCTTAAGGACCAAGTGAACATGTTTGAAATTGCATCGCATTTGCTGTGGATATTCTGGGCACTCGTACAAGCCGAAATATCGGTGATCGATTTCGATTACTTAAAGTAATAATATGATAATATAACTAGAAATATAATCATTTAAAACTAAGAGCCAAGACCCATGAGGACCCTATACACCCGCATGTGTTGTTTCCGTCTTACAAATGTACAACATAGAAAAAACTGTTTTATGCGGGAAAAAAACTGAAAAAGCTATAGTCATAACTAAGAAACGAGATTTTCACCCCATAAAAAAGAGTACTTTGGCTCTGAAACGTTGTTTTATTTTTTGATGTCATTTATATGAGCAAAGTTATTCATGTTTGAAAAACACAAACAATAATGGTTTTTGAAACAGTAAGAACTTTTTTCATATAAGTGATATCAAAAAAATAAAAACAACGTTGCACAGCCAAAGTTCTTATTTTTATGTGGTAAACATTTCGTTTCTTAGTTATGACTGTAGCCTTCTCGGTTCTTTCCCACGCAAAACAGTTTTTGCTATGTTGTACATTTGTAAGACGAAGACAACACATGCGGGTGTAGCGTACTAGATGGTACTAGCGTCCTCTTAAAAGTTTGACGAAATTCTCTTACTAATTTAAACTTTGAACCCAAAAACTATAGCCTTTAATATTTTACATTTTTATTTTTCATCACCTATTTAAATATTAGTTTTTTTTTTAATTTTCAGGTATGCAGAAATGAGATTCAAACTGTACATGACAGCAAAAAGTTCACTCATCAAATGAACACTTCGTGACATTCCTTAAATGATTCTATAATTGTTTAATACTTTAAATTTAACATGTTTACATTTCCATTTTCCATTTATACCAATATGAGACAAGGAAACACTATATTATAGCCTCACGTTTTTTCAATAAATATTATATAGGCATTAAGTTTTAAGGCATACATTTTATTTTTTATTTAAATACGATGTGACCGTGGATAATAAACGTAATTTACTTGTTGCAACATCGCCACCAAGTTTCATCCTGATCACAATATTATAATATAGCAATAATAGGTATTACGAAGAGGTTTGTTGAAACATAATATTTAATATATAATATTTTCTGTGCATAAGAAATACCGATAAAATAACTTATATACGAAAAACTTGCTAAAAAATTTAACTATTGTAAAAAACCCAAATACAAACACAGATAATGTTCTTAACATCAAGTTTCATAATAGGTCGATTCACTGTAATGTTTAAACTAACGTAGCTGTACGTGATTTCCTGAGAGTAAATTTTCCATGTTAGACGTAACATCGTAAGACGGAGACAACAAATGGCCGAGTGACGTCCTCTTAAAGACAAACGGAGCACGGTACTCTATATTTTGTACTTTGAAGAAATGTATGAATCATAAATATGTATTAATATGGATATCATTAATAAGTGACCATCACAACGAAAACGTTACTCGTAAAGAAAAACAAAATATCTGCACTTAGCCCAAAAACATAATGTATATTGAAAAATAAAACAAATTTTAACCTCTTTAATACACCAACTAGATTCACTTTCAAATCAGAAAAGATGCTGAAGTAATAATTGGAGCATTTTTACTATCCTTTAAGTTGATTATAGACAGAAAAACAGCCACATCATTGAAAAACCACATACATTCATCGCTACTTTCAGAATCTAATGTTAATAACATTATAATAATAAAAAAGTTCAAAAATATTAAACATTTTAAATTTATCACGACTTGAAAATGTATAAAAAAATATGGCTGTTGCCAACGATTCAAAACAATTATCTTTAAGATGGGTTACTTCAATTTAGTGCCTAGAACCACATAGCATAAATAGTTGTAAATAGATCTCCTATAAGTTACCTACTTATTATAAGCAATTAATTATTCCTTAAATTATTATGTAGGTACCTAACTGAAGAAATCCATCCATCTATCACATTTATAGTCTAGTCTAGTTTAGATTTTACCTATAATTTATGATAGTTGGTAAATGGTAGGTACCAAGAAAACGGACCTTAACGGTAAAAAGACAAAAACGGTCAAAATAATAAGATTTGTCATCCATGCCTGCACCGCCTCTAAAATCGGATACTGCGTTCATGCCGTTCAAGAATAGAAAATAAATAAAATAATTCAACACTTCGATAAATGCGCTGTTGATTAATCATAATGTTATTCATATTACGTATCTAATGGCCGCCATCGAACAATCGTTTTCCTTCGTACCTAATAATATAGGCACATATCGTACATACGTATATTCATTCACGTTCAGTTGGATTTATCAGCCGTTAAACGACGTCGAAGTAATGTGAATAAACACAATAACAAACACGCGCATACAAAATGGCAAGACGATTAAAATTACAATGTATAATAATATGTGTTATAGTTACATAGCAGTTACGTGTGCCGAGAGTTTTTTTATATGTTTTTATTATTATAGTGACGTGACTACAGCTACAGAGTGTGAAACTGACTCATTTTCCAAACATCCCTCGCGACGGGGAAACGACGATAGGCGTAATACACCACACTAAAGCGTCTTTTCTCGGATAAGTTTATTGTTTTACACATAATTCGTAATTAAGTTAAGTATATTTAAAAAATACTTCAATTATTCCGTAGGTATTGCGTGGCAGAACTTACAGAACATACAGAGTGAACATACAGAGTGTCGACCGCAAGCAGGTCCAATATATACCTTTTCTTTCGTAGGTTTTTGTTTCTTGTCGTCCACTCATATTCCTGATTTTGTTGTATTTACGCGTTTAAATTCGGGCTCGCGACACATCCTTCCGATCTGAACCCTTCTGTTCCGCAATCTATATTTAAGTGTCGACCATGCAGGAAGAGTCGTCTGATTCGAACGGCGAGGGCGGTGCGCTGACCGCTAATGAATACGCATCCAACACGACCAAGCGACAGGTGTATTTGGAATTCTCAGAGTTCAGTCCGGCACAGATTCGAAAGATCGAAGACATTTTTAACCAGTATGTTATAGGTGACCTACCTATGCGATTTAAACCCGCACATGGGTAGAATATAATTTATCATATTATATAATATTATGTTATAATTTGTGTGCTCGATGAAAATTAATATATTATTTTAATTTATAACTACCTACCTACCGAACTATTCCTACTTTATTGCTAGTTACTACTTCATAGTTCATATAATCATAATATGGTCTATATTATAGGTATCTATACCTATTCATAGACTAAAACCATACTGGTTAATTATAGGTATATTTTAGATTATAGGCTACAATATATGTTCATCATGGAAAATTAACATTAAATATAATTTTCTTTATAAGATTTAAAAATAATGGAAAATATTAATTTGTATATTTTACGTAACTTAAGCTATTTTTTTACAGAGGACCGTACAAATAGTGACCTAGAAACATGATATAAACAACATAGTAATACGGTAGGTTCTTATGATCTCAAAAGTCCAGATTTAGTTCAATTCTGAGCAACACGACTTCACTTGCTTACTCGTATTATTATTACTATACACTACACTACGTCAAGTGCTTACCGAATAAATCTGACAGTCAAAAAGTTACGATCATACCTTGTATGTAGTTTATATCATGCCTAGAAAGTAGAAGTACTAGAACCGTGGAGTAGGTAAAGATTAAAGACATGTACCTACCTACTAATTAATAAGTATAGGTAGCCTGGTAGGCAAGACGCCCATTTTTCAGTAAAGCGTGCTGCACAGCCTTACAACTGTACAAGCGTGCCAAATACTAGTAGCTAACAAATAATATATTATATTAATAATAAAAGTTTAAAGTTAATAGGTATAGTGAAAATATCTACTTGTCTTAATTCAGTAAAAAAGAAGTTAGTTAATGTTTTTTTATTATTATTAGCATCCGGGTCACACGTCATATTATAGTGATTGTGTAAATTCTTTAAAAAAATATATATTTTGTTTAGAAATATACAATCAACCTATACATAAATATAGTATAATAAGTTTAATATTATCATTACTAGTTTATCTACAAAGCATGCATAAATAAGCGGTGGGAAACTGACCATGAATGGAACTCTCAAAGTTACTTTGTATATAATTATTTTTTAAAAATGTCATCATGTTTACACATAGATATGATGCAAACAAAGATGGATATCTGTGTCGGAATGAATTGAAACGAATGATGATCAAACGTCGAGTTCCATGGACTGAAAACTCATTGAGTCAACTGATCGATGATGTGGACAAAGACAAAGATGGAAAATTGACTTTTAGAGAAGTATGTTGAATTTCGGTATTCGTTTAGTATGTGACCCATTGAAAATCAAGTTTAGTAAGTGACCAAGATGATTATCTATATTATGTACAGATACCGATAATCAATCTATTAACAGGTAAGATGCATTTTTTAAATTTTTTAAGTAATATACAAAAAATTGTATTGCTAAAAATATTTTCAAAACTAAACACAATTTTTTTATAATCTTTGTGACAAAACATAATGATGTTATAGATAGGTACTCTATTCATGCAATTTTTTAACTGATGTTTTGTTTGACTGATTTTGACATTGTTACCTAAATATCATCCTGTATTATTTTATGTTTGTATTACTAGTTTATTAATCAAATTATTATTAACATAATTTTATAATTTTTAATTTGACTGTTTTAAATTAATTATTGGTTCTGTAAGTCACGTACTAAATTAATACCCAATAAAGTAGGTCACATACTAAACGAATACCTTAAATTTATATATCTAACTTAAAACTTGATATATTTTTAAATTAAAGTAATTTATATAAATGTAAATGTTTTATTAAACTGAGTAAAGAAACACATGTTATTAATATTGTTAAGTTTGTTATGACAAACCGTAAGACTTTGGAGTACTGTCAACGTGCATTGGCCAAACAAGAAAAAGTAGACTTTAACAAAGTTGGTATTAAAGGTGTAAGAGACTTCTTCGAGGCAAAGGTACACTAGTACAATACTGATCAAATTAAACCGAATACATAAGATTATTAAATATTTCTTTCTATTTTTTTTCAGGCTAAATATTTCAAATAAGCAATGCAGCAGTTTTAAAAAAATATATTTAAAAAAAATATGTTCAATCTACTAGTGTCCAGTGAAAATAAAATAATCATAAATTTGATAATTATTTTTTTGTACATATTTGTCAAATAGGTAATGTTAAATATTTTTAACATAACAAGTTAAGTACATTTTGTGAGTTCAGTAGAAATTTATTAATATTTTTATAAAAATCATCTTTAGCTACTACAACTACAATTATTTAAAATGTATAATCAATTTTTAGTTTAACTTATAAATAATAAACATTATGTTTTATGTAACACACCATAACCACTTTTTTATAGCGAATGACAATATACTAAATCAAAATAACATATTACATATTTCTTTCAGATTATTCTTGTTACATCCAAAAATATTAGTTGCTAATACAACACTAACAGAACATAAATAGACAATGTGATTTACAATCTGTATAAATTGCCTTACACTTCATCATTACGCTTCCATTAATGTTTTATGTCCAGGTATGTCTTATGTATAATATTATGATATGATATTTTGAATTTTAGAAAATCTAAAAATTTGGTCAAATATATTTTTAATAAAAGTGATTTACCAAATTTAATTTTAAATTCATACAATGCCGCCTAACCACAATATATTGTTAATTGTGTATAAATGTGTTGATATATTATATTAATGTTATACAAAGTATATAAAGAAGTAATAAAACATATGATATACCAATAGAAAATATATTTTGCATTACCAACGTTGGCTGCGTACAGAGTAAAAATGTTCATAAAATTATAGTATCCATCTATTACAAAAAAACTTTATCATATACAGCTTTAAGTGTTCAATAAATAATTGAATTAAATTGGTATCTTAAATTAAGTGAATAACAAAAATAAAATATTATTATAATTAATAAAATCTAACATGATCTTATTGTTCATTAAAGAATTATTCCAAATAGTAATTGAATCAAAATCTCATCATTACTAAAATATAACAAACAAGATTGTCTTAATCAGATTTACGAATTACAAATATCACAAAGTTTAAATAAATAACAATCAGGTAACATAATTTACTTTTCAACTCATTATTTATCTAAAGATTAAATCATCAATTTCATTCAGTAATCTCGACACTGCCAAACCATCATACTGTACTGTTAACTCTGGATTAGTTTTTATGCTGTCCATTTGTATTCGCTGGACATTATCAAAACTTGGTGTGTAATAATCACTTAATTTGGGTTCTGGTTTTTTTGTAGAATGTGCTTCCCTAGGCTTGGGTTTTGTTACAGTAGCTGAATTGCTATTTAACCCGACATTTACCATATTATTATAGTCATAAACATGTTCGGTCAATGGAAAATTTACTTCCCTGACACCTCGCTGAACATAAAAAAAAATACAATCAGAAATAATTTTACGTACACTTAAACACATATATTGTTCATACTTTGATCGTATTTGGCTTGGGCTCTAATCGAGAAAGTGAAATGTTCCTCAACTTCGATTCTGTTTGAATGATTGATGAATACAAAGTAGGTTTGGGCTCATACCTACTTGTTGTAGGGCGAGCAACATTATCGTTGTCATCGTCTCGTTTTTTCGATGTGTTAATATTTTTCTTGGGTTTAAGCATTTTTTTAAATTATATAGAAACAAAAATCATTTAGTTTTGTAACTTTTTAAAGTACAATTTGAATTTTAATAATCAATACTGAATATTATATTAAAAGTTACAAAATACAACTTACAACAATAAAACTATTTTATTAAAAATTCAAAACTCAAATAGGTACCAAGTTCAATATTTCAAATTTCAATACGCATAACGAATTAGTCCATTACGCTTTGATAATAAATGATAACGTATTGTTGCATTCAAACAGAGTAGCCATGGCTTAAATATACAAGGTTATTGCAGTAGTACCCTCACTACATCGTTTTATCTTGTTAAGAAATTAAAGTGGCAGCGTAAGGGGCGATGTTTTGATTGGCTGTATATTATATGAATTGGCGGCATATTCAAAATGTTAACATATTTATCATTCATGCAGTATATTATACTAAACTGTTACTATACCGAGTGTAACAAATATTTTCTTTAATTTGTATACTATAATTAAAACGATTGTCTTGTATATTAATATTGTACTTATTGCTTGATTTGTTTGTAATAAATTGTTTTATATTTGTAATAAATACATCATACAATCGTATATTATGCCTATTTATTTATTATGAAACCAGATGCTAAAATAGTTACCTACCTATTCAAAAGTTGTGCAAACAATTGAAGTATTTTCATATTATGTTCTCTAGTCCTTTACACATTCATTATCCCTCACCTTTATTAATATGACTTATTTAGTTGAGTAGTTGAGTTGAAAAAAAAGGTAAACAGTGTATAATAAATTAATAAATCCTACTTGGTAATGATCCAACATTAAATACATTACAAAATATTATGCATTACAGCATTAGTTAAATATTATGTTTACATTATATAATTAAGTGATAACAATAATTGATAAAGAATCGTGACCCTTACGCTGCCATTTTATTTTATTTGATAACAATAATGGCTATGTGCAATAACCTTGTATATTTAAGCCATGAGTGTAGCCAAGATTCAAATTTAATATTAAACAGCTGTCATAATAATACGGTTTAAATATAAAGTGAAGCCGGATTCACAGCTGCGTCGTGTGTCGATCAGATCGTATTGCGATTGGATATTACTTTTTTGGTATAATTTAATAACCAAGGTGCAACCGAGTATACCAAGAATTGGCAACTTCTACATTACGTTACCAGTCATAACCATATAATAACCAAGGCACCAAGCCATCGCACGACACGACACACGATATAGCTGTGAATGCGCCTTAAAATTTTATAACATTATTGCCATAATGTAAATTTAGCTGCCTATTCATTGCTTGGAAAGGATAAACTCAAAATGAGAGAAAAAAATGTTATTATCCTTACAAGTTACAACGAAATATAATATATTAATATTCATTATTATTTATTTTATAACAATACATCCGGCTAACTATCTTTTTTCTCATCACAAATAGCTGTATACAGTATAGAGTAGGTATACAAATTACAAATACACAAATGTACAATAGCATAAAAATTAACAATACAAAAAGTACAAAATATACACACTTAGTGCGCTTATAACTAGGTAAGTACCTAAAAACTAATAAGTATTGTTTAACATTTAGATAGGCTTCCAGACTGGTAAGTGCCTATGATTAAACATTAAATGTATAACCATAAATATAATAATTATAAATTTTATAATTATTAATTGTCTATTGTACGCTCAAGCCCAACTGTGTGTCTGTGTTATATCTGCGCATTTTCTCAAGAAATAAAAAGATGCACATTAGAACATATCTATTATTTTTGTTTGTGACAATTGTATATGTTTCCGTATTAAATATATTTTATTGATCTTGTCATACAATCCGTTAAAAGTTTTTTTTTTAATCATAATTCATAAATAACATTAGACATAACGTTTTGTTCAATCGGTCGGCAGTCTTTCACTATTGTGAGAGATTAGTTAGTAATTTTAATAACTTTATATATTTAACTACATTATCTATCTCCAAAAACATTCTATAAATTCATACTAAAGATACTTATCTTATACCTATCCACAATACATAATTTAGATTCAAATTTATGGCTCACTACCAAAAGTTTTATCAAGCCTATGATATATTATAGCTAGTATACAAATCCACTAAAATCTGGTAACATTTATTTGATACACAAATGATGAAACAATTAATTTAAACTATTTTCTAAAGCTCTAGAAAATATCTTTTCACCAAATGATTTAATTGATATCGAAACAGAAAATGTAGTGCATAAAAATGTAGCTGAACCCAATATTTTCTTTCAAAGCATACTTCCATGCACCACTCCCAACAACATCTCTGAAATCATCAACAAATTACCTGAACACGATTTCATCACAAATGCAGTAGGTAGATAATAAAAAATATTCTTAAAAATGCAATCACATGCACGTCTATTTTATTCAACTCTCTACTAAAAGTCAGTTACCTTTTCATGCAACCGAATGGAAAAAATAATATTATGATACTATTTGTTGGTAACTATTCCCCAGCCATAAAATATATAGGAGTAATCCTAGATAAAAAAAATTAACTTTGAATCCATGCATTTCATCAATGATACCTATGACAAGGTTTCCTCTTCTGTATCCGTTGATATTTAATTAATCTACAAATCTATTTAAGCTGGTAATGGTCTATACCTACTTCTGTACAAACAAATTCTACGCGACCCATAGTATTCTATGCTACCCTCCCCCCACAATTTTGGAGAACTCCGCCAAGACACATGTAAACTAAATTCAATTTTTCCAACCCAAAATATTAAGAACAAATGAACAATAAATTACAAATGCATCCTTGTTCGTATGAAAAACGAGTTTTTCACATATACTTTTAACTAATAAATTACAGTCAAAACTTACATAAAATAAAAATCTGTCCTGACCAACTAAATTGCAATCCGCAGTATAAGTTATTAGCATCAATCATCGGCAAAGGTAATACAGTGATCTATGTAACAACTAGACTATTATTCTACTACAACAATATTACATGAAAGAAACGATTTGGTTTAATTTATTTTAAGCATCACGCATGGAAGTTAAAATATGATTATAAGATACAACTAAAAGTTTATGTTTTGTAAGGACTGTGGTATAGATTTCAGTGTCTGTTTGTGCAGGGTATACGTGCGTGAAATGTGCGAGCAGCACTTTTTGGGATTTCCACTTTACCGCCCTACACTATTAAGAATTCTCACTTTACCATCCGTTGGACGAAAAAAAACGCTTGCCAACGCTTCAACCGCTATCGAAAACCAAACTTTCGGTGCAGATGTGACAAAAATCTATTTATAGCTATCATATATATATATGTCAAATAACACATATGTATCATACAACAGTTGTATGATACATGTACCTATTATATTTTATCTATTAAAATGTATATTACTACATCAATTATTATAATCAATATCTTTATACTTTTAAGAAGACGCCACACGGGTATTTGTTGTCTCCGTCTTACAAGTGCGTAACATCCATACCAAATTTGCGCTCAGCAGATAACGTTTAGCTCCGTTATTTTTATTATTATCGGTTTCGGTATCGATTTCGGTTTTTAATGGTTTTAACCGGTATTAAAAATCGGTATCTATCAAATATCGGTTTCAAACTTTCGGATTCACTCAAGTTGTTAAATTAACTAAGTTAAACGTTAAACTGGGCCTAAATTTGCCATGTTACCAGGCGCGGACTGGTAAAATATTGCACAAAGTGCAGCATTTAGACATTTTGCGCCCCGATACAAAAAAAAATTTCTCCCCCCTAAGGAGCCTACCCTCGTAAAATATGGATTCTCATTAACCTTTTAGATTTTGAGCGCAGAAAAAAATTTGATGAAAATGTGATTTTTCAAAAATATTGTTTAGTAATTGCTTGATCCTCGCTCCGCAAAGATACATTTGAATTTATGTCACTTTATCCTTGCCTTTATAATTCATCATATAAGTTGTTTTTTTTTAACATATTTAAGTAGGTATTTAAGTAGTAGTACTTCATGAATAATTAAAATACAATTAGGTATATAAAACTGCAAATTAATATTAATTAAAAGAATTTCAAACACCATTATACTATATATATATATTACTATTATACTGAATTATATTATATTATAATACTGTTATTAAAATAATTAAAATAATTAAATTTTAAAATTTCACAAGTAAACAAATGTTTGACCACAAAATGTTGGCGCTCCTAAAATACTGGCACCCGGGGCAGTTGTACCCAGCTCCCTCCCCTAAATGCGGCCCTGAGGGCACGGAATGCTACACAATTTAAAGGGCAAATAACAAAAATTATTGAGGCAAATTTAAAACTTGTAGATTATTTATAAAATATTAATATATTAATTTATTTAGTTTTAAAAAATATTGAATATTTTACGTTAAAAATGTAAATAACTACCAAGTTACAACAAATTTTCAATCAAAACTATACAGTAATATAGATTACTAATAATCGTAAGTTGGTAACGACCTGCTGTTCATTATGTGTCTGGAGTCTTTAAATATATAATAAATAATATTAGGCAAATATATTTTAGGGCAAGGGATGCTGTAGCAGTAGCATCCCAGCATCCCAGAAAGTCCGCTCCTGCATGTTACTCCCTTATAGGACGGAGACAACAAAGTTCCCTTAATCATTGTAAATGTTTGTAAATAATTATTTAGTTGTCAATTGCTTAAGTTATAATGTCAAAAAAAAATAACTTAAGAAAATTAAATTAAATTAATGACAATGTCAAGAAACCTTTATTTTAATAAAATAAAAATGTATATATAACCTACATATCATTTTATCTAATAAAGTTAAAACGCTTAAAATGCTGCTAAGTTATGTTAGGACTTATGTTAGAATAGTTTAAAATATAAACTACACGTATTTTTTAAAAACATTTTAAATATAAATACTTGAATTAGTTATTTAATTATCTAAAAATGTAAAACTTCTCAATAAAATAATGATTA